TATATTCTCTGGGAACAGAGGCTAGCCTCATTAGAGGCCTCTCCCCAAACCAAAAATTTGGCAACTCCAAGAAGCCAGCTGTAGGCTGTCACTCTCCCATGTGCCATTCTTATCTTAGACTCAGCACCCAGGGGTCAGAACTAGAGCCAAGGCCAGGGAAGTCCCAGAGCCCTTTCCCCACGTGGTCCCTCCCAGAAGACGCGGACCTGACACCAAAGATGCAAGGAGGGAAGCAGCATCTAGCTCCTGTCTTGTTGAGCTAGGCTGGAGACCAGCTGTCTCAGGTTCCCAGCACCCTGCCCCACCCCCAGGACCAGAGGACAATTTGCCTCTGTCCCTGAAGGAAGAAGAGGTCAGTCTAGATTCAAAGGTATCCCAGGAGGGCCTGCGGTACCACCTGCCTGGTGGCTTTCTGCACTTCCCTCTCCTGCTGGCCCTGGCTGCAGGGAGGTCCCTTGGTGGAGTGTTGGTGCACTGGGAATATGCTAAGCAAGGCGTGCCTCCCCTGATTCCTGGGAGGCTGTCGCTGGGCGGCCCCCTGAGTATCCTGTTCCATTCTCCTTTCAGATCTAAGCAATCTGGCACTTAAAGAAATAAAGCAAACTTCTCTGAAGTGGCAGTTAGTAGCCTCCTCTACCCCCAAATAAGAGGAAGTCACTGGAAACTCTGGAGCACCTTTGCTCCAGCCCTGCCTCCTAGCTTGTATTTCAGAGGCCTGTGTCAACTCAGGTACCCAGACCCTGGTGCATGGCATTCCAAGGTGAGGGAGGGCCTTTTCTGGAACTCGGACCCCAGTTTACCAAGTTCCTCCAAGGCTACCTTTGTCTCCCATCCTGCCTCATCTCCCTTTTGGTCCCCGCACATTCCTTTCTGACCTGTGTGCATTTAGGTCCTCACCTTGCTAATGGATGCTCAGCCAACTGGGTTTTCACCTTCACAGTCATCACAGGGTTTGCAGTGAGAGATGTAAAGACTAGAATCCTAATGCCAGTGTTCTCGATGGATGGCACAGCTCTGGTGGACTGGTGGTGGGTGTACAACTGGAACAGACAATGTGATGGGGAGAAGGGGACAGTATGTGGTAACACTGAACACTGTATCGCCCAGTAGTTTCTCTCCAGGACATAGGAAAAAACTCCTACAGCTGTGCAACATGCTTTGTCTGTGAGAGCAGTGCTATTCAGAGGGCCCAACGCAGCAAAAAAAAAAAAAAAAACAAAAAACAAAAAACAAAACCAATGACATCACAGGTATCTGAAAACATAAGTAAGCCTGGGCTACATTCAGACCATGGAGCTTTTAGGTTGCTGTGAGAAACAGTGAACCATGGTGACAGCCATGGCATGGAAAAATTTCCCATAGTGCTTAGCATGATTTAGAAAACCATATAGGGTAATGGTTCTCAACCTGTGAGTCACAACTCTCAAATGACCCCTTCACAGGGGTTGTATATCAGATATGTACGTTACAATCCATAACAGTAGAAAAATTACAATTATGAAGTAGCAACAAAATATCTTTATGGTTGGGGTCCCCACAACATGAGGGTCTGTATAAAGGGGTTGCAGCGTTAGGAAGGTTGAGAACCACTGATCCAGGGTCTCACTATATAGCCCTAGTCGGCCTAGAACTTGATATGTAGACCATCCCAGCCTTCCCCTCAAACTCACAGAGATTCATCTGCCTCTGACTCCAGAGTGCTGGGATGAAAGGTGCCCTCACTGTACCCAGCTTGGAAATACTTTTTTTAAGTAAAAGTTCACAGGGTGAGCAAGATGGCTCAACACCTTGCCACCACGCCTGAGATTAATCCCTGCAACCCACATGACTGTAAGAGAAAACTCCTGCATGTAGAGGAGGCTGCTAAATGTCTACATAACACAACACACACACACACACACACACACACACACACACACACCTATACACAAATTTCTCGGGCAAACAGAATTATCACGAACATGAGGGCAGACAATAAAACAAGTAAGGACATTCTCCTAGTGAATTATTAAGAAGAGCACACAGGAGATGTATTAGTGGCAATGCCATGGTTCTTTACAGGTGGTACATTTATGACAATCCAGTGCACTATTAAGTAAACCAGCTAAAGGAAATGTATGAAAGGTGATAGATGGCAAACCAAGAATTATGATTAAATCTATAGACCCGATGCAAGTGCAAGGGTCAGGACTGAGTGCCATTCTGAGAAAGGCCCCCTGGGTCACAGATCTGCAAGGCTCTCTGAGAGGCCTCAGTGCCACCTCTGTCCAGTTAGCAAATGATGGGTTTGCTCATTTGAGGCTGCACAAGCAAGGACCAGCATCCCGCATCTGACTCACAGGCTCCTGATCTTTTGCCTAAAAATAGTGAGCAGGGATCCCTCTTCAGGAAGCTTCAGGCAGATATCAACGATGGCAGGGGCTGAGTGCTCTCTTGAGTGCTTGGATGCTTCATGCTTGAAGACGGGGCATTTGGAAGTCCCTCATCTGCCCGCCTACAGGAAAAGATGCTCTTTAGAATACAACTCTCAAATGCTTTTGATCATCACAACAGCAAGAAATCCATTTTTCCCAGGTCCCAACTCACATACATGTTAGTGTGTGTGTGTGTGTGTGTGTGTGAGAGAGAGAGAGAGAGAGAGAGAGAGAGACAGAGACAGAGACAGAGACAGAGACAGAGAATGTATGTATGTATGTATGTATGTATGTATGTATGTATGTATGTGCAACCAACATGGGAGTACTCTGAAGTAGCATCTACACATGTGTTGTACATGGATACTCTGTCTTGTGTTTTTTTGTTATGTTTTTTGTTTTCTTTTTTTTGGCTTTATGACCATTAAACTGCTTCAATGAGCTTATGAGTCGACACCCACACTAGAGATGTCAGTGGGCACCTAGCAGGAGAGACAGATGAGGTTACTCTAGGCCATCCCTGCCCTCCCCTGCCTCTTGACTCTGGGCTCCTTGACAGTCAGGTACAAGAGATCTGAAGGTAGTCACCAATCTAACCACAGAATGCCCTCTTATCCACCATTCCTTTGGTCTTTGTCCTCACCAGAGCCTATTTCATTTCCTGCCCTCCAGAGAGGTCCAGGAACTTACCAGGAAGATGTCCAATATAGCATATGAGCAAGAAGCCCCTGGTACTTGACCAGGATAGATAAGAAGACTAATCAAGGGTAAGACTTTGTCGGAACTATGGGCAAACCTATTGCTTTGTGACTGCTGAGCTCAGTGGTTGCTAGGTTACCCCCTTCCCACAACTCCAGAACAGAGCCCCAGCACCTTTCTCTCCCCCCTCCCCCATCCCCGTGTGGTTGGTCTTTCCCCTTCATGGGGGGTGGACAGCTGGACTTTCTCTTGTCCCACGAAACTCCTCCTCCACTTCCCATCCAAGCACTTCCAATGGGGACCCAGACAAGAAGGCTGACTAACCTGGTCCCAACAGCCAGCAGCAGACTGAGAGAGAAAATCTGGCCAAGGATTCTGGTTAGGCCGTATTCTGGGCTTGCCAGCTTGATACAGCCGGATGCTGCTGTGTGCAGTCTGCCTCTGTGAGCTTTGGTTGGCTACCTCTTAGGACCTGAAGGGTCCCAGTGAGTTCACCTGGAGAGGTGGCAGTGAGGAAGGATTAGGGTTTTCAGTTAGTAAACTGCCTGCATTGCCCGGGATGTGGAGTGCTAAGTACCCTCTGTTCAAATCCCCTTCTGCCATTTACTGTGAGGTGATTTCAATTTACCCAATGGCTTTGAACCTCAGTCCCCATAGCTCTGAAATAGAGATGGGATTCCCATTTACTATTCCGCGTTAACACACACGGTAGTGTTTAGCACCATAGGTGGTATCAAAGCTAATGTCTTACTATTGCTGTCTAGTCTAGGGGTATGGAATGAATGCACCTGCCAATTTCTGGGCTTGTCTTGAAGAATAAATGAACTGATGAGAGTGACGTGCCCAGTTATCTGCATGCTGGAGATGCTCAAAAGTGTGTGTGTGGGGGGGTGGGGGGGTGGCTTAGTGTGCAAAGGGTTCACCTTGCAAGCTTGAGGACTTGCGAGCTCAACACACAGAACCCACATGTTGCGAAGGGGGGTGGGGTGGAAAGAGGGCTCAGGGGTTAAGAGCAGTTGCTGCTCTTCCAGAGGACATGGGTTCAATTCCCAGCACCCACTTGGTCTGTAACTCTTATTCCAGGGGATCTGACACCCTCACACAGACATACATGCAGGCAAAACATTAATGCACATAAAATACAAATAAATTATTTAAAAAGGAAAAAATGAGCAGTGGTGGCACACATCTTTAATCTTAGCTGCATGGGGGGGGGGGGGGGGGGGGAAGGGGGGAAGCTAGAGGCAGACAGATCTCTCTACAGAGCAAGTTCCAAGACAGCCAGGGCTACTCAAAATAAATAAATAAATAAATAAAATAAAAATAAAAAACCACCCCCCCCCAAAAAAAGCTGGGCCATAGTGTCACATTTGCAATTCCAGCACCAGGCAGACAGATTTAGGTGGCTTCCTAACATTCCTGGGCCATAAGCATAATATGCTGGGTAGTTTTATGTCAATTTGACACAAGACAGAGTCATCAGAGAGGAGGGAGCCTCAATTGCCTAAGACTGAGCTGTAGGCAAGCCTGTAAGGCATTTTCTTAATTAGTGATTGATGGGGGAGGGCCCAGCCCATGGTGGGTGGGGTCATCCCTGGGCTGGTGGTCCTGGGTTCTACAAGGAAGCAGGCTGAGCAGTCAGCAGCAACCCTCTGCATCAACTCCTGCCTCCAGATTCCTGTCCTGTTTGAGTTCCTGTCCTGACTTCCTTCACTGATGATAGTGAAGTGGAGGTGTGAACCCTTTCCCCCTCAAGTGGCTTTGGTTGTGGTGCTTCGTCACAGCAGCATAACCCAGCTGGGACACCTCCGGGTTAGTGAGAGAACCTGTCCCCAAGATTAAAAAATGTGGATGATGCCAGAGAAATGTATTTAAGGTTTCTTTCTTTCTTTCACGTGCATACATGTGTTCACCTGTACCTGCACACACACTCGAGCACATACAAAACAGATGTTCAGAAGGATCCTGATGACCGCCTTTAGTGGTCACTAAGTAGAAGCAGGATCTACAGTAGGGTGACTGCTTTGTCCAAAACTCCCTGTCGTGATCAATTCACTGTATTTCTCTGAAGTTCAACCTCCTTACTGTAAAGTGGCAGCAAGGTCAATCCTCGGTCCTGGGGCTATTATGGGCTGGGAGGCCTGAGTATAGGCTCTGTAAGCCAAGAAGGCTTGAGAAAGCTGCTGGAAGGTGGCCTAAGGAATAAGCTGATCTCGAAAACTGGTGGCATAGTTTTATGTCAGGGTTGGCTCTTATCAGTGTCCCGAGGCATCTGTGGGTAAACCCTGGGGACCAAGGGGGTTGAGATGGATAGCTGTGGGCAAACCTAAGCTCTTCCAACGCTCTGCCCCTCCCTGCTGGAGGGGGACTCCAGCCACTGCAGAGGAGGGCGACTTTGCCCTTGCTTCAAAAGCTTCTCCACTCCCATGATGTGGGGAACATTCTTTCCCTGAGAAGGGACTTTGCCTGGGCCTGTCTCTTCAGGGTTCAGGTGGCCCTTGGGAACCAGCTCGAAAGCCCCTCTTGCATGACCTACTGTGTTAAAAAAAAAAAAAAAGAGGGCGTTCTTCCCATGGCCAGCCCCCTCCATGCAGCTTCCAGCAAGTCTGCTGACACAGCTAAGAGGAAACTCCCCTCCCAACCTCCCTACGAGTGCCCTTTAAAGCTTCTATTGTGTATAGAGCTGCAACAGGGTCTGTGTGCAGAGTGCAGTTGGGGTGAGGAAGGCAAGGGATAGCTTAAATGTCTTAAGGACCAGTTTTCAGAGGAGCTGGAGAACCCTCAGACCTTTCCCCAAGTGGTGTCAGAGAGAGGAGCCAGTGGGGTTGCATTTGGAAACTGAGATAGGAGGATTACCTCTAGTTCCAGTCCAGCCTGGGCTAAACAGAAAGATCCTATCTAGAATAAATAAGAAAGAAAGA